AAAAAAGGAGGTTTGTTGTAAAAAGTTTGTTGATTTAAATGACACTTTCATTTCAATCTTTTTTATTAATAAAAATGGCATATTTATGTAATAAGCTTTATCAATTATGCATATTCATCTTAATGATAAACACGCTTGATTAATTTAAACTATTTTCTGCTAAATAAAATTTTATTTCCCGACGCTTTTTACCCCATTGATTAAGGCACTTGAGAACACCCTTAGTAAATGTTTCCCTACCTTTCTGGATTTATAAAGCCACCCGATTGTTATTATTGTGAAGGATAGGTAATACAAATGTTTGTATGGTATGGGTGACTTATTACTAAGCTAATATTTCAAGAGATTATTACTAGTGATCTAATTTACAAAAAACTGAAACTTAGTAAAAAAGCATCTCTAAACAAACACTCAAAAAGTTATGAGCGACATACCTTTGCGACTATTAAAATGCTATATAGAACTTGGAGTTTGCATATATTGTTGAAATAAATAAAAAAAAAAAGTGTTTTTTGGTCAATTTGAGATCGAAATTAACAATGGGCCTAAAATATTCTAGCCCAAATGCGCATGTCTTACAGAGTAAAGTTACCAGTTTGATTATTAAAGAAAAAATTTTATTTGAATAACTGATCTTACGGGTAATGTTCTATAAGATCTAAAAATCAAAAGTTATTTTTTTAAAAATATAGTATATTTTATTAATGACGTTTTGACCATTTGCTATAACTGATAATATACTTTTTGTTTTTATTACATCACTTAAAATCAAATCGATAATATATCAATTATACTTTATACTTTATTACTTTCGAACATTTATGACATTAATTATGACTTTAGGTATTGGTCATAAGTTGTGGCATAAAATTTAGATTTAGGCATTGCAATAATTTCTACGGTATGTATAGACCCGAACCAAAAATTGGGTTTAGTTTATAATCTTTTTAGATTTAGACCTTTCAAGTTTCTGATTTTTTAGAATTCTAATTTCAGGATTGTAACTTTCAGGATTTGACCTTTTCAGGATTTGACCTTTTCGGGATTGTGACCCTTTCAGGATTGTGGCCCTTTCAGGATTGTAACTCTTTCAGGATTGTGACCCTTTCAAATTGTAACCCTTTCAGGATTGTGACCCTTTCAGGATTGTAATCCTTCAAAATTATGATATTTCAGGATTGTGTTCTTTCAGTATATTTTTTTTCAGGATTTAAATTTTCAGGATATTATATTTTCAGGATTTTGTTCTTTAAGGATTTAATGTATCAGGATTTAGTATCTTCAGGATTTTGATCTTCAGGATATTGACATAGAATCATGAACATGAGCGTCACCCATCTCCGCGGATTTGTGATAATAAATGAATGCCTTATGTTTATCCTTTTCAGATCCAATTCAATGATGATAACAATATCCAACATTATATGTTCCACTAGCATTTCCCATCTCTGTAGATTTTTGATAACAAATGAAAGCCTTATTTTTATCCTTTTCAACTCCAATTCCATCTCGATAGCAATATCCGACATTACATGTCCCATCAGCATGCCTCATATCCGCAGATTTTTGATAATAGATGAATGCCTTGTGTTCATCCTTTTCAATTCTAATTCCTTTGTAATAACAATATCAAACTCTAAATACTCCATTAGAATTTCGCATATCAGCAGATTTTTGAAAATAAATAAATGCCTTACGTTCATCCTTTCAACTACGATTTCTTTTTCGTAACAGTACCCAACAGTATATGTTCTATTAGCGTTGCTGATTTTTGATAATAAAAGAATGCCTTACGTTCATCTTTTTCAACTCCAATTCCTTTTCCCAACAGCATATGCCCCATTAGCATCACCCATCTCTGCAGATTTCTGATAATAAAAGAATGCTTTATGTTCGTCCCTCCAACTCCAATTCCTTCTTCATAACAATGTTCAACTCCAAATAATCCATCAACATGCTCCATTTCCGCAGATTTTTGATGCTTTCTGTTCGTCCTTTTTAACTCCAATTCCAAACTCAAAACAAACATCAAGCATCAATATTCCATTCGCATTTCCCATCTCTGCTGATTTTATATAATATAAAAATTTCATATATTCATTATTTTCAGCATTAGCTCCATTTTGATTAAATAATAGTTTGTAATATTTTCAAATATAATAATCTCTATGCGCATATGGAAATTTAATACGTGAAAAAAAAAAATTTCAAATTACTGTGATCAGCCGTCGATCATCCATCACACGGAAATCTGTAAAATTCCCTTAAATTCTTTGTTTTTAGAAAATTCTCACTTAAAAATCACAATTCCAAAGTTTCCTAGTCAATTCCCGATTCTATAGTGTGTCATCTATTAGCGTACGATATCTCGTTTTGGTTAACCAAGTATTTGTAAAAATTCCCCAATGTCTATCAATAGAAGTGCATTGAAATTTACTTTCAAACTTTGATCGAAGTTATATCAACACCTATCTTACCAAATTCGATGAAAAATTTTTTATTCAAATTCTGATCATATCTATAATTAAACCAAAAAAAAGTTTGTTGAATTTGGCCGGGTAGGTGTTGAGATATCTTCGATTACAAATTTTTGTAAAAATTTGAGTAGATGTGCGTTTCAAACTTTGAGCGAAGATATCTCGATACCTACCTAATCAGATTCGATAAATTTTTTTTTATTCGAATTCTACTAATGCCCACAAGTAATAAAAAAAAAAAAGTTTATAGAATTTGGCCAAGTGGGTGTCGAAGTGCATTTCAAACTTTGAATGAAGATATCTCGATACTCACCTAATCAGATTCGATAATTTTTTTTTATTCAGATTCTACTAATGTCCACAAGCAAAAAAAAAAAAAGTTCATTGGATTTGGCCAAGTGGGTGTTGAGATATCTTCATTGGATTCCCGGGTTCCCAGATTCCCGTGTGGTGATTTTGGACATAGTAGAAATCTCGCGAAATTTTCTGTCCGATTTTGACTTCTACTATGTACAAAACCAATAATACATTAAGCGGATTCAACCAAGCGAAAATATAAATTCTAAATACCTTATTTAAATTTGAGGAAAATTTGTTTCAAAGGATACAATGTCTAATGACCGACAGCACATTATTATCGTACAAACTCTCACATAGTCCTTGCTTTTAATCAAGATTTAGAAACAAAGAGTCACCTCTTGGTATTGGAATATGCCGGAAATGGAAATCTAAATGATTACCTGTCTGAAAATAAAAATTTAACATGGCCTCAGAAAATAAAAATTTCGAAAGATATAGCTTGTGGTTTGAAATATTTGCATGACAACATAAAAATGATTCATCGAAATTTGGTGAGTCCTTTATCTCTAGCTATACTTTTGCATTATTATTAAAATACATATATCTTTACATTTAGAATACGAAAACAATCATCATAAATAATGACAAAGCTCAAATATTGAATCCAGTATTTTTGGAATTAAATGCTGACACTTCATCATATATGACATTACAAGAAGGGATAGGATTTATAGACCCTGAGCTCTTAAAAGATCTAAATTCACAATTCACAAAATCGTCTGATATTTATAGCCTTGGTATGGTCATGTGGTCCATTACAAGTGGAAGACCTCCATTTGAAAATTATGCGAATAAAATTATTTTAGCAAGTCTAATTGTGTCAAAGAATTCGTGAAGATCCTATAAAAGATACTCCGCAAACATATATTGATTTGTACTTGAAATGCTGGAAATTAAATTCTAAAGAGCGGCCATCAGCACAAGACGTGTATATCAAGCTTACCCAAATTGAGAAAACTTTGCGAGAATCATTGAACATAGGGAACGGTGAGCGGACTGTAATGGGTGAGAAATTATTATATTTATACTACATAGGATACGACAGACCTATTAGAACACGTGTGACAATTGTTTTATGCTGAAAATTAGCTTTGCTTCGGATTTATCGAAAAATATTAAGTAGTTTTAATAATTTCAATAGTGCAGGACACAACTACAGCGGTTACTCAGAATGATAATTATTTTCCAGTGAAAGTTTTTAATGAGGATGGGTAATAATCATTCATTATTTCGCTATTTTATCGTTCGTTATTTATAGTTTTTGCTTATTTTTTTTTATAGTTCAAATAACCCACAGAAAGGTCTTCTTGATTAAAAGAAATCCTTAAAATGAATCGTCTACGCAAATTATTGTTTTGCTACAATCGGAATAATTATTTAGAATAGAATTTTTATATGTTTTATAGACTAATGTTTTGTAGATGTTATTTCAAAAATTCTTGTAGTTAGATATTTATCACCTTTATTTGAATAAGGTAAACAAAAACTTAATTGAAAAACGTCTTATCGTGTTGAAATTGGCAAAATCTCTTAACGGCTGTTATAATTCCTAAAATTCCCGATTCCGGCATAAACATTGATCTAGCATTGCTGGTATTCTAATAAGAGTAAAGTGGATCAAATCTTTAATTCGAACGCAAGGCAAATGAATCTATCAAGAACGAGAAATTTAAAGACGTAAAACTAATTTATATCGATTGATGGATGAAGATAAACAAATTATGATTTTATGAAAATAAGAATTTAGCAGAAACTTGAATTTTTGTTATTTATAATTATCATATAATAGTTATATGCTATTATATGATAAAAATATGATAAAAATATTTTAATAAAGAATATTATAAACATATTACAAACATATTACAAACGTATGATAAAAATATATAAAAACATTTTAAGCCTGTTAAGTTACTATGATTATCATATAACGAGTCTATTTGCTTTAATTTAAACGTAACCTTTTACATGTAACTGTCACGTTGCATCTGACATTAATTTTGATTGGTTAAGAATTACAGGAGTGACAATTTTTGTGTGCACTACCTAAAATAGTTTAATTATTATAGACAAGAGCGTAGAACTTAATTACTACATAAGGTGATACAAACATTACGTTTATGATGCATTTCGATCATAAAAATAGACTTTTGATACTGCATAAATATTATGAAAACCATAAATCAGTGTTGTTAATTGGAAGGTCCAGTGATGATTACTGGAACTAGAAGGTTAACTGGAATTTATTGGATGGAATTGGAAGATATAGTAGTTCCAATGTTAAGTTGTTTACTAGACCTTCTAGTTAACTTTTTTTTACCACTGGATGGAGGTTCCAGTGATGTCCAGTGATGACTAATAATTGATGTTTCAATATTTTATAGATACTTGTTATTGTAAAGGTATGTAGTGAATAACCGTGGCCAAAGGCCACAGGTTATTCATATACCCATACAATAACTATATTATTTCATGGTGTTTGACAAATATGTTTATTAAACATTAGTGCATATATTGTGCATTAACAAATCAGATACATATACAAAGTTTAGTGTGAAAAATTATAATTAAAATGTTTCAATAATGTATACAAAATTTTTTTATAATAAATTTTATTTGATCACATATACCATATTGCACTGCTTATAGTACCTGGGGTCTTATTCAAGAACACCATTTTTAAAATTTAATAGTACTGGGTACTATTCACGAATCCGGCAATTTCATTGGTGGAGAAGGGGGTACTTTATGTGGTAGGATATTATTTGAGAGGGATACTATAAGCAGTGCGATACAGTATCACATATTGTGTAATGAAATGATTAAGGCCTGTAACATTGTCTAATATATTAATGCCCAGTCTTAGAACTAAATCAGCTTTATATTATACTTTGGCAAAATTCTAAACTAATTCAAATACTGATTCAATCTTAACTACATAGAAATTATGATAATTCTAATAAACCTAATAAACTTAGTCTTAATTATACACTGTGATCACTGGAATAAAAAGCTTTGTATAAATTTTTTTACAGTAACTTATTATAAAAATTTTGATAATTTCAATACTGACCAATTCAACTTTGACTACATATAATGTTATTGGAATACCACCATCAGCATGGACCATAGTATCCTACATTGTACCCTCCTAAAAAAATTTCACAGTGGAATATAAAATATCTGGTGATATTTAGAATTTTTCAAATAAAACTCACCATCTATAATACTTGGATTTTGCCTGAGAAATGTATCGCACATATTGCAAAATTTTTTTTGGCAATAACAATGATAAATGATACAATAATTTACAGTGCAAACTAATCAATTTTAATCACATTCTAACAAAATAATAAGAAGTAAAGTTTTAATAGAATTTTTTATAATAGATCACAATAATAATTTCAACACATACTAACTATATCTTAACTTATACAATAATTCCAATATAACCACCTAAACTAAATCTGCAGTCACTGGATTAGTGATTAATTTTGAAAACAAAATTTATAGCAACTTACTATAGAAATCACAATAATTTTTATACAAACTTAACTTAATTATATACTGTAGTCACTAGAGAGCTAAGTTCTGTAATAGAATTTTTCATACTATCTCATCATCAAAATCATGAATTTTCTATACAAACTATCTCAATATCAACTACACAGTGTTACTGAAATACAAATTTTTGTAACTGAATTTTTACTGTAATATCACATACTGTGGTCACTAAAATAACAAATTTTAGTAATAGAATTTTTTATAGTAATTAATAGTCGAAATTATGATAATTTCAATACAAACTAACTCAATCTTAACCATTGTGTTTATTGCATTAACAAGTAAGTTTTGTAACAAAAACTTTGCAATAAACAGAAATTACTATCAATTTAATATCAACTTAATTTAATTCTAATTACATAGTGTGTATATATTGTAAGAGTTGTTAAATTCTATATAAGATAGGTAATGCGCATGCACTATCTATCACACTAGTATTTAAATATTTAAATAAACAAATAAATTTATTTTGTATTATTAGCTATATAAATATATAACACTTCACTGGTCAAAATTTTTTTATATAATAGGATGATATGAAGATGATATATAAAAAAACAAATATTCAAAAATTGACTATAAGATATAAAACTGATCAATAAAATCATACAAATATCAGCCTACTGATATTATGATAATTAATAAAATATTACATTATAATTCAACAAAAAGAAGATAGAAAGGCAATATGATTAATCAAGAAAAAAACAATAAAAGATAAGTAACCGATATTATATATTAAAAGATAATAAAATAAAGAAAAAATTAATTAACTTAAAATATCAAAAGTTAAACCAATAAGAAATAATATGAAAAGATTATTTAAAGAATAAATAAATTAAAATACTAATGTTATTAATTTATTTCAATTGACTTAAATGAAGCCAATACAATAGTGATTGATTAAATAAATGATTTTCACTAGCCGATATTATTATAATTAACTAAATTACTAGAAAATATATTGAAGACATTATTAATTATCAATAAACATTTAAAATTTAAACAGATGAGCTATAATAAGAAAAGATTGAAATATGATTCTATAAATTTAAAGATGATAAATTACTGATACATTTGATTTATTTAGTTTGACTTAAAAAAGCTGATATAATAGTGATTATATCAATTAATATTTTTTCACTAACTGATATATTACAAATTAAAATATTTCTAGATAATAATTAAGCAATTAATTTAAGGGAAATTCTATTTTCACCCGGGTGATTTTTACCTGTCATGTGATCTAGGGCCATGGGCCAATCAAATTTGCCGATTTACATATATATGCAATTTTAGCATTTAAATTAAAATTTTAAACAAAGATATCTCAACACTTACCAACCCAAATTCAATCAAACCTTTTATATGCATTTTATAGATTCGTAGAATTCAAATAAAAAAAAGTTGATCAAATTTAACTTGGTGGTGATGAGATATTTTCACTCAAAGTTTGGGAAAAATGTTGGCACAGCTTTATTTTGATAGATGTTTTGGGTTTTCTTAAACTTTGAGCGAAGATATCTTATCAAACACCAGGTCAAATTTAATTATTTTTTTATTTGAATTCTACAGAATTGTAGAATTCAAATAAAAAAAAAGATTATTGAATTTGACCTGGTGGTTGATGAGATAACTTTGCTCAAAGTTTGGAAAAAAAGGTTGGCACAGCTTTATTTTGATAGACGTTTTGGGTTTTCTTAAACTTTGAGAGAAGATATCTCATCAATCACCAGATCAAATTCAATGAGCTTTTTTTATTTGAATTCTGCGTGTCTGTAGAATTCAAATAAAAAAGTTTTTATTGAATTTAACTTGGTGGTTTATAAGATATCTTCACTCAAAGATTGGGGAAAAGGTTGGCGCAGCTTTATTTTGATAGACGTTTTGGGTTTCTTAAACTTTGAGCAAAGGTATCTTATCAACCACCAGGTCAAATTTAATAAATTCTTTTTTATTTGAATTCTACAGATTCGTAGAATTCAAATAAAAAAAAGTTCATCAAATTTGACCTG